TATAAAATAAATTGAGAATATCTAGGAAAAAAAAAGTAAATCAATTGATGGTGGAGTAGTAGCGGTGGCCAATACCGGGCCTAAACCTCTGGTTATAACTTTCTTTTGGGCTTTTTTCCTTGTCTTCGTCGGGTGCTGGAAGATTGAGATCCAAAGACAAGCCCAGATTAATTATTCCAGCTGCCTTCCTCGAGTCCTCGGGCTCCATCTCCTCAAGAGCCGGGGCATTAACGTCAGAAGATCGCATAACGGGCCCAGCCCGGTGCTTCCTCATGTGGCCTCCGAGTGCCTGGCCCGATGTGAACTCGGCCCCACAATAAGAGCACTCATGCATTCTAGGAGAAGGGGAGGACTTGTTCATGAAGTTGGTGGTAGCATTATTATTGTTGAGTTGTAGAGAGAGAGAGTTGAGAGAGAATCTATTAATCTTCGAGGATGGTGATGGGAAGTCCTCGTCATCGGAAAATATGGGCCGCTTCTCGTTCTTGGGCTTCTTGTGGCTGGCCCGATGCCCACCTAGGGCTTGGAACGAGGGAAAGGAACGGTTGCATGTTTTACATGTGTATATGAATGCACCTCCTCCTCCTACGCGTGCATCATGTTGAGACGATGATGTGTGGTTTTGATGATTGTCGTGAAATTGATGAGCTTGGGAGAGGAGGATGAGGGAACGAGCAGTGTCGATCTCCTGGGTCGTGCTGCTCTCCTCGGAGGATGTGACGGTGAAGGGAATGGGGGAATGGGGCCTAAGTCGTTTGGTTCGTTTGCCCTTGGCAATAGGAGAGAGGTCACAAGAAAGGGGAGGCGGCGGTGGTGCCACCTCCACAACCTCCATTATCTCGCCTTCGCTTTCACTGCTGCCACCACCACATATATTCTGCCATCTGTGGTGGTGGTGGTGGCTGTTTTATCACTATCATTTTCTTTTGATTGAGAGAGATAAAATGATAGATATGAGCATAGAGAGAGGGAGAGAGTGGAGGGGAGAGAAAGTAGGAGAGTGATGAAGGTTGGAAAGGATGAGGAGTAAGTGTGGGGTGGTGGTGATTACAATTTACAAATAATAATAATGTTTTTTATTTATTTATTTATTTATTGGGTTTTCTCTTTGTTATATTTTTGTTGGGTTGAACTTAGAACAAACTATTTAACATATACAATTTGTGAATGTGAAATGATAGTTTGTCATGTGCATGTGAGGAACGTATTTATTAATTTATACACAATGCTAAAAATAGGAAATGGTATTGAATGATTGAATTTTTTTCCTAGGGGTGTAGTGTGCATGAGTTTATTTAAAATGCAACTGTTTACAAGATTATTATTAATTTAAAAAACTAAAAACTAAATTATCAACTTTGATAATGCTAAGAGGTGATATAGTTCACACCACTTATAAGTGCAATTGCATTCCACGAACCGGTGTCATCAATGTCTGAAGCTATGCGTTCAATTTGGAGGATTTTACCACATTCGACCTGTTGAACTGACGTTCCAAGACACGTCGTGCGTCCTTTGTCCTAGTGCATTGGACGATCTTCTTGTGTCGAGTCTGATCAACAACCGTGAGAATGACATACAAGTCTCGAAATTAAAGTTAGCATCTTCTTGTGTTCTTTTCATGTCAGTCCATGTGTCACATGGTTTGAGCACTTGGGAACTAAGGTCGGGCAGATCTTGGTCAACAAGATAACACCTCTAGATAAAGGGGTGAGCTATGATCATCATCTCTCTAAAAACATTGAAAATATTAGACTCGTGTACATACAGTGCATCTTCACCCATGTCTACTGACTTTAGTGTGGACTTCTATGCTGAGACAAATCTCTGCGCTGTTTGCAGGTTATTTCACCTATTCCATGACAGATCGAGGGACATTGGGTCGTGTCAAGGTCTTTTTTCACTATCATTAATTACCACCATTTATACGTTGGACCGGGTCAAGGTCGTTTTGCACTACCAGTAATTACCATTTTTTCTTTGCTGAAACGATAAATATATTAATAATTGAAAGCCAAAAAAGCAAGTACATTAATTGAGATGTGTTAACAGACACCACAAGAACTAACACGAAGGCTGGATCCACCCTCTTGGAATTACACAATTAACTAAGGGGGTACAATCACCCGCAAAATACAAAATACTATAAAATTAAGATAAGAAACTCCATAATGGAGAATAGAGCCAGACGCAGCTGGACTAAAACAAAGACAACAAACAAAAGAGAATCATTAAAAAAACCAAACAACTCAGACTTATGCAATACAATAAAGCCCTTCTCACTACCACAAATCCTAATCTCCTCAGCGAAAATGTCGGCCGACCATAACCCAAATAAAACAAAATCAAGTCCCTTCCCCAGATCTAGCAACTCCAATCTCCTTAACTCAACAGACTATGGCTAACTAGATCCAAAGCAACAAGGACTGACCCTTCCAAATGAATAAACACCAGACAACAACCTCGGACTTAGCAACCGGCACCTCTCCCAACACAACCCGAACACCAATAAATAAACCAAAAGACAACACAACAGAGGGGAATCGCCCAACACACCTTCAGAAAATCGAACGACCCCGACGAAGAAGTCATTGTCGGCGCTAGCTCTAGCCACCACGAGGGCGATGATCTTTGCAGGAAGCCTTGACCGCGCTCCAACACCGACAATCTAATCGGCCCGACGAGCTTGCCGTGAAGGAAAGAACTGAAGCTTGGAGAAAGCATGAAGCCACTGCCGCGCTGACGAGCTCCATCCCAACACTGGTCGCCCGTGAAGGAGGAGGAATTGAAGCGGAAGAGAGGAGACGCGCTAGGGAAGAGAGAGAGAGAGAGAGAGAGAGAGAGAGAGAGAGAGAGAGAG